GTAAGTACATCCATATATTGTTAATTGGTTAGTAACAATTATACTTAATACTATGTTAGTATTGTTAGTATTTTTTGCATAAAATATTACTTATTTTTTTTTATTTATCTTAGCCCAATGGCCAACTCCATCCAGTGTTTCTGAAAGGGGCAGTCCATTCTGGCCGAAATACACTTTAAAATACTGTTGTTGCTTTCCCGTAGACGCTGCATCAAAGAAATAGCTTTCTTGCGCATAATGGCATGAAACCCATCTGTGTGTGCCTCTGCGAACATCTTTGAAGCACTACGACGCCACGGCAGCCCCAACAGCATTCTAAAGGCATTATTATATTGCACACGCAAGACGTTGTAGGCCCGGCGCGAATATGCCACCCACAAACTACAGGTATAAAAGGACTGACAGAACGCTTTAAATAGTGTTATTTTGACGTCCTTCGTACTCCGAGCAAATCTGCGGACGACCATATTGCTCCTAACCGCCAACGCCCTGCGTTCCCTCTCAATGTCATCATCATCCCGTAGATCGCTAGTGATGATGTGACCAAGATACTTAAATATCTCGACAACGCTCAGCGATACACCGTTAAGACTCACGAGCGGGACATGGCGTGGTTTTAATTTTTGACACTTAAACACAAGTATTTCACTCTTTTTTGAGTTATATGCTAAGTCATGCACCTTCGCGTAAGCCTCACAGGTAGCTATCAGTTTTCTTAAGCCGGCTATGGAAGGACTGAGCAAGACCATGTCGTCTGCGTAGCTTAGATTATTGACACAGGTGTCGTCAATGTGACAGCCGACATGTGTGTTACTCAATTCCTCCACAAGTTGGTCAATGTACAGGTTGAAAAGCAAGGGTGAACTCAAACCTCCCTGTCTCACTCCGCACTCCAATCTGTATTCATCCGACAGTGCACCGACCCATCTTACATGATTTCTCTGGTTAGCATACCAGTATTTCAAAAGGGACGTATACTCCGCCGGTATACCCGCGTCCTTTAACTTGCTCCAAAGTACATCATATGACAAGATCAAATGCCTTGGATAAATCCAGGAAACACGCATATACCGGCGTACGCCTTGCAGTAGAGTACCTGACAGTATGCTTCCGACTAAGAATAGCGCTTTCTGTCGACAGACCTGACCTAAAGCCGAATTGGACATCTTGCAAAGAAACGTGCTTATATAGCCTGCCATTTATCACACTGTCAAGTATTTTAGCTGCGGTGGTAGCAAGCGAGATGGGGCGATAATTGCTCATATCGGACGTGTCACCCGTCTTGTTCTTAACTATTGGTACTACAATAGTCCGCACAAGCGGCTCCGGTAAATATGAATGATTTAGACACAGATTGAAAAACAGTGCGAGAACTCGAGGCAGATGGACTCCCGCATACTTAAAGTGTTCAATGCTGAGATTATCGTGACCAGGTGATTTTCCACGAACCATTTCTTTAATTATTTGTGCCACCATTTTTTCCGTAATCTTTTCACTCCCGCTCGCCGTGATAGTCTCAGCATCGTTCACCTTATTCAACGTGGAACCCAGAGGTGATCGCATAGTGAAGCGCGACCTAAATGCATCAGCAAATTCTTTATGGTCGGAAAGACCATCTACACTCACGGGTAAACTCGGCCTAGTTTTCATTTTATTAGTGTTCTTCCAGAAAATTAAGATTATTTTTGTATAATTCTATCTTTACAATCGTAACAATTGCAAGTGTCAAACTAAATGTAATTAAAGAACAAATCCTATTGTAAAACTACAAATAATACAAACAAGTAACATCAAGTTATTGTTAGATTAAGTATAGGAGTGGTACGGAATCCTCGATACGATTATTTTTTGTTTTTTATGTAATAGACGTACGTAGTTGTCTAACTTTTGTAAATTACTTATACGCTTTATTTTTTTTGTACATCGTGTGCTTTTTAGTTTTTAATGATTTTTTTTTCAATTCTAATATCAAATTTAAGAATACACGCATGAATGTAGCACCAATTAAATGTTTTTATATTATAAATACGATTGAATCGAAATGGTTATTAGCAACGGGACGACTACGAGTCATCAATTGCCAAAGAAAAGGTGAAAATGGTCGAGCTTCAACAGGCTGACGTAAACACCTTCGGTGTCGCTTTTCTATGTGTGACTGATGTATAATTAAGTACACTACTTCGTCACGACTCAGGATTAATAATTGCCTAATAGAGCCAGAAAAAGTAACAAATTGACTTACAGTATTAGCTTTTCTACTTTGGATATTACTTATTACTTTGGACATTTGGACCATTACGCCACTAAACCAAAATACATAAAAGAATAAATAAATAAATAAATATATTGGGACATTAACACACAACACCATCTAGTTCCATGCTAAGTGACGAGGCTTGTGTTATGGATACCAGATAGTTGATACACTACACATATATAACTTTAAATACATACATATTATAAATATAACATCCATGACTGGAGTCCAAACATTCGTGCTCATCACACAAATGAATGCCCCCAGCGGGACTCGAACCCGCGACCGCTGGCACAGCAAGTAGGGTCACTACAAGCTGAGCCGAGCGTGCCTACAAAATGAATTACTTTTCTCACGCGGCTCTCACTAAAACAATATACAACTGTGAAATTTCATGATTTAAATGTACTACGTTTATACATATCTACTTTGTTCTTTAATCTTTTGATGCTGTTTGTTGCAATGGACTTTACAGTTTTCAAAGTTCAAACAAGAACAACAAAGATAAATTTAATATGAATCGCTTGGCGTAAGTTTAAAAAAAATTATAGATATTCTTTTTTATTTATGTTATCTATATTGTTGAGTTCAATATTGCAAGACACTGTTTATAAAATAATATGAGAAATAATTTATTTAAATAAATATGTGCTATTATAATTCGCGCCCTCTATTTAAAGGCGGTGGAGTATATTAGAAGCTATCTTCACAGTATTTCGATAGATGGCGTAATAAAACGACATTTAGCACAGATAACTTTTCTATATTTAATAATCATTTTAAATTCCATTATATGTAGAAATCGTGAAAAATATAATTCTTATACTGTCTTATATATTTATTTTATAGAAATAATTAATTATTATAAATTTTATTGTTAAATTTAAATAGTGATTCACTTACGATGACGCCATCTTTAGTTTTAAACTTTAAAGGTATTGCTTAGTAAAGAGCTACCAACCTAAACATATTTTCCCTAATTTTAGGTTCTTTTTTAATTTATTTATTTTACTGTAATTTGCCCTTTTATTGTATAAATAAAATAAATAATTTGAGAAGATATTTTGGGGCGTGTACTATATTGTAGAAAATCTTTTTTTAATAATAATGAATGAACACATGTAGACGGATCCATTTTTATTTGATTAATATTTACACCATTATTATTATTTTTATATGTCTTCGGATTTCACGGGCTCAAAAGAGCCCGGTCCTTTGGAAGGCTTGTGTAAGAACACAGGTCTAATACGTAGAGACCCCAGAGATTCAAGTTTGAATAAGTAATCTTATAATATAATAATTTAGAATGTAGGTACAATGTATTGTTGGCATATCTTGCAAATAAATAAATAAATGGAGTTTGGATGGACTAAAATACTGGATGACTATTGGATGAGACTATAGGACGTCCGTCTTCTCAACAGTCTCAGATTGAATATTTGGTGGAAAGTGACTCACCTTTCATTAGATGGGCCCCCACAAAGCGGCATAATGCCTTGGCCGCAACATTAGCGTAGTCGGCTATGAATTTCCAAAGGTGGCCACCGGTTTCACCATCGTGAGAGTGCTAGTGATCGGGTTTCCCCGTTATTATGCAGATTAAGCACTTCCACCCTTTCGAGCACTTGGCTCTTACACTCCACTCTGGACGGCCAATGAGGGTAAACCACAGCTAGAAGACAGGTGTTGTTTCCCCCGGGAGGTCTCAGATACGCTATTATTATAATTATTATACAAACAAAATAAAAATTAAAGATTATATTGTAATAATATTGAAAAGTAATAAGTATTTTATATCCCGTACATGCTTAATAATACTGTAAGAGAAAGAAGAAACAAAGTTAGTTACTTAAAATTAATACAAATATATAATCCTTCCACGACCGCGGACACGCCGGCGTTACAGTTAACAATAGATTTCTTAGAAATTTATCTGGAAGTGTTAAAGATAGTACTATCTGCATTAATTTGTTAAGAAAGTTTGTGTTAAAATTGATAAAAGGTGAAAAATAGATTCCAAAAGTTATATTATGGTTTTAAAAAAATCAAGTTAACGAAAAAGAAATAATGCTTTCATAATTCCAAGTTGCGCAATTTTAGTGATTATTGAAATCAGCAATGTTTATATGATATGGATAGCGTTTTTACTTTTTATGAATCTGGTGAAATCACTGATCGTATAGTTTAGAATGAATTAATCGCATTTCGTATTTATTATATTTTAATTCTTGTATATTAACTAAATAAAATAAACAAGTTCGAAGATTTGCCGATTAACGACATCTTTTATTTATTCAAGCAAACAAAACTACAAAACTAGCTTAAATAATAGCCCGAATTAGCGCTGTCCAACTTCTTTATAGGAGATGGGACATCTGTAGTCCGTACTAGTAATGTGTACTGTGGGTGCATCGCTAATAAAAAAACAAGCTCACATCAATAAGAATACCCCCTGCAGGGTTTTACAGTAGGTAGACACATGTCTTTTGTACATATAGGAAACAGCTTATAATAGAAGTGATGCAATGCATAAGGTAAATGTAAAAGGTGAATTAAAGCAATTATTTGTGGCAACATTTTTTGTAAGTTGGCAACCCTACCGTACGTCGCTGGCAGTGAACGGAACGAAGTGCCGTCGTATAGATCGCTGGCAGGCCGTCTGGCTGAAAATAGTGAACGAAGTATGAGTTTTCCAAATATGTTCGAATAAAAAGTGAACAGTGAGTGACTGTCATCGAGCAAGATGGTTGATGACGTGAAAGATATTACGGAAAAAGCTGAAAGCAAAGGTATTACGCATTTAAAATCGATACGTGCCGTTTTAGTGTGAAATGTGATCGAAATCGTCTAACCCTAAACCGCGTCGTGGCCCCACGTCGTTCGTGCACTGCTTTCGAGAATGTCCGCAGTGGGTTGTGGCCGACGCAATCCGATGTTTTGTTTTTCATCTTCATTTGGATGTCTTTTGACGTCGTGGTATGTTCTAAATTTAGAGAAAAGGCTGCCAGACGGTGAGCAGTGCGCAGGAATGCAATAAACTGTAGGACCACCGGACCTCCTGTCATTTTATCACCGATGGTGCGATTTTACCGGATTCCTTGCATAGTTACCGTTATAAATTAATTCAGTCGCATTTCGGTTATCTATTCTCAAAATGGGGTGCAAATATTGTCGTTAGCCAACAAAATGATGTGTTTCTTGAGTCATGACTTACATTATCAATTGATGCTCTGACGTAAGTACGTATTTTGCATGTATGTGCATAAATTTTTCGAGAGTATGTACAGCACACATTCGCGTTGCAACCAGCTCACTTTCTAGTTATCTTATCAATTTCTGTATCAACTTTTTTATGCGCAAATTGCTGAGCTTATTACCTACATGACTATTTAAATTAAAATTGCACATTATAAACGATAATTTTGATAAATCTAAAGTACATAAGATTTACACATTTAGTTTAGAATTTAAAAAAAAATTAACCATATTTAACTAGATCAAATATACTTATTTGGTTTTGTAAGAGGTTATCTATTGTTGTCAATTGGCCTTGTGTCTTGTGATGAGATCACAATTCACAAAACAGATGAAAACATATGTTTTTTTTTCATTTATTTAATATTAAATATCATTTTTTATATTTTAATTCATTTGTGTGAAACAAAGAAATTAAGGCACAAAATTATACTAAAAGATAAGCTTTCATATTAGGGAAAAAATAGTTAGTCACCCATTTATACTGCATACTGACTATATTTTTAATCAAAAAAACCTTTGCAAAAAATTTGGTTGCTGCTCATTAAACTTTACATATTATTTGCTTTACTGATTTCAGTTGGAAACGAGATATATATGTATATATTTCAATTTCATTCTTTAAAGATAACCAAAAATATCACTTTACAATACAATACTACATGACTAATCTGCTTTCTAACAAAATTGAGTCAAGATAAACTTATGACATACACACAATATTCAGATATCACATCACTAAATCAGTGTATTCATTGTAATGACATATTAGTAGAAATTAAATTATATGAAATTGTAGAAAATGTTAGCCACAGACACAATATATTGGCAGTAATGTCTTCTCAACATTTTTGAAATCATATTCTTTTAGACAACATATTATGACAATGTTTTTAAATGAAATAGTTCAATTGATCATTCAGAAGTACTTTGGGAAGTACTTATTTAAATAATGTATAATTTTGAGATATAAAAACCCCTTTGTATTGTAAGACAGGAATTTTATCTATGAAACCAGTTTCCTTTGAATTCAAATTTGTAACATTTTTATTGATAGCATTTAATTAGACACAATTTTATTTGACGAATAAAAATATCAATGAAATTCATTTACACATGCTTTTCTTTTAATGTTCATTAAATTTGTAAATAGTAGTAAATGTTTTAATATTTTTAACATAATATTCATGTAAAGTACGACTAAGAGTATGATTTAAGTGTAGTTTTTAAAATAACTGAAATCCAAAAATAAAGTACATTCCGAGCTTTCTGTGGCCTAAATAGGCACCTTCAATTATATAATTAATATTCTAGGTGAATGAGCTTTTGAAATCGGTGACATTGATTACCAAAAGTTTCCTAAATCCATAATGTTTGAATGTTAATTATAAATCTTACACGCCCAAGCAAGAATTCCTTATGCAAAGAAATGACTCAATCTGTGTAGGAGCTAATATTACAATTATGCTTCACATCATTCAATCTTATTAACATTTTGACTACTAAATCTTAACTATTTTATTTAACTTACATTAAATAAGATCCATATGTTTGTTTATAGTGATATAGTATTAATATAAAGAATTCATTAATATAAAGAATTGATTGAATATTGCTTGGCCTTATGACTTTGGCAAGACATCAAATTGTATCACTTTAAATATAATTTACTCAAGTTTGATTTGTGCGATGTTTGCTTTATTACAATGATGTATGAACTAGATTATGCAGAGATTGGTTAACCTAAAATGTATCATATTTTCCATTAACTTTATACAACTAGCAACTCACCCTTGCTTTGCTTGAGTTCATCCTTTGTAAAAATAAATCTATCCCATGGGAACAGTACCCTATATGTTATTACAGACTATAATCTATCTGTGTGCCAAATTTCACCCAGATCCATTCAGCCATTCTGGTGTGATTGAGTAACAAACATCCATTCATCCAAAACTTTTGCATTTATAATATTAATGGGATATACCAATAATTCATGGAAACCACTTGATATGTAAGGTTAAATTATTTTTATACTTTATGATATATCTTCCATAAACTTTAAATTTTTAACAAAAAAATGAAATTAACTGTTACTTGTATTTACAGTATTTAAGTATGTAGATCATAAGGCAGATTCACCATTATGTTGCTAGTAATTTTTATATACATTGTAATACATTGTATATCAATTTTTTATTCCATCTATATTTTTTCCCATTTCAGACTATTGATAAATGATAATAATATAATATTTAGTTACTGGTTGTTCTTCGTAAGTTATGGATTTTGATTTCTTTGATTAGCTTTTAGAAAGCTTCTTTTTAAAGTACGAGTAAATATAAACAATAAACAATTTAAAAGTGAGTTCTGACCTAACAAATTTGCTCTCTAGAATTTATAAGAAACTGAAACCCAGACACTTTCAGGGCTTTCCTTTGTAAAGGTTAAATTTATAGGTTTATTAACCCCAGAATATCCTTTTTGTCCTTAGCTAGCCATCTTATATACTTACTGTGTTTACTTATTTACTTAATTTTTAGTTAATACAAACCTGTATTTACTTATTTTCACACCTTATGATAAAAAAACAACCTATTACAAAAACTCAAAAGACTTTGAATATCCTATTTTAATGAAATACACTGAACAATTTCTACTTAATATATAAACAAACAGACATACAAGACTTTCTACACTATATTAGATGTCTCCTTCAAAGGAAATTAATTACTTTTTAGCTAAAAAGTACACCGAATTCAAATATCACTGATATGTAATTTATTTGGAACAAGTTAGAACTTTAAAAAGAATGATGATATTCAGTTATATGATTACACTAGCATTGCCCGCGGCTCCGCCTGCGTTCAGATGACCAAAAACCAAATCCTTAAGTTTTGTATTTTTTCTCAAAAATGAGATATTTTCCCGCGGTAAAAAGTAACCTATAAGTTGACCCGGATAACCAGCTATCACCATACCAATTTTCATCAAAATCCCTATAGTCACGGGTTTTTCTGTGATGCAGTAACAGACAGACAGAAAAAAATTCTAAAAACTATAGATTCTGCCTCTGTATCGATAATAATGTTTATTTCAATAAGATTTTATAGAAAATATCTAATTTACAGATTCGGCTTAGTTACAATTTTATTATATGTATAGATAAAACATTCAAATTAGCTGCCTGCTTTTTTTAATTGTTCAAAATTACTGCTTGATATACTAAGTTACAGACAGAATTACAATATTATTATATCCATAATATCTTTTTTAATTTTGTAGAAAGCAAATGTTAATTTAAAAATTCATAATATTTTTTAACATATCTTTGTAGTCTGATCTATTTATTATATGCATCTTATGTCGTTTAGAAGCAGATTAGCTGATCATCGCCGATATTGGCACAAAATGTTGTCAGGCCTTTTATAGGTAGCGGCGCGTTGACCTTTTCATAGATCAATATGCGACACTGACTGTATGTTTATTTTTAGCGTATTACGAAGTTATTTTGAACATCTTGGTTTGGTTAAAGCGTTTAAAAAGTGCATAGATAGAAGTTGATATGTATTTTCTTTAACTTATTTCATGTATGCTCATTAGATATCTATACGTATAATAAAATTGTAACTAAGCCGAATCTGTACATTAAATATTTTTTGGTAAATCTTATTGAAATAGACATTATTATCGATACAGAGGCCGAAACTATAGTTTTAGATGTTTGTTTATCTGTCTGTCTGTTACCGCATCAAGGAAAAACCACTGGAGGGATTTTGATGAAATTTAGTATGATGATAGCTGGTTATCCGGGTCAACATATAGAATACTTTTTACCGCGGGAGAATATCTCATTTCTGAGAAAAAATACAAAACTGCAATGTAAGAGTATACTAATATGTAAAACCTAGGAATTTGGTTTTTGGTCATCTGAACGCGGGCGGAGCCGCGGGCAATGCTAGTACATTAATATGCTTGCTAGTAGGTATGTGACGGGGAATTACCTACTTTTTATATGCAATATATTTATTTAACATTTTTCTCATATCTGATTGTTATAGGAATAATAGAATCGATCTTAATCAGATAGTAAAAATCTTATATTTTCGAGCTCTCGATATCGATTATAAATTGAACAAAACATCATCAAAATCGATTCAGATATTATCGAGTTTCATTCAGTTATAGTTTGGACATGAAACTGAACGTTTCACAATAATTTAACTTTCTAGACGAAACTTGGCAACACAAATTACTTAACTTTCTATTTTTTACTGTGATTTTTTAACGTCATTTCTTTTTTCATAAGACTTGGTTTTTGAGTCTAGATTTATAAGGCGTACTTGACTCGGTGCAATGACTGCGAATAAATTTCAAATTTTATGAAAATGGTCGCCTTGTTAGCGAGCGACCTTGCGGTGTCTCCATACAATGGAGATAGTGATTTTATTTAATTATCTACTTCATTGTGTAAAGATAAAGTGCAATTTGCTTTAGCAAAACTGTCACAATGTTATAATAATTTTTGTCATTTTGT